CATAATTTAATATAGAGACAACAGTGAAAAATAGCATTATTGTAATAGTTATAATAAACAAAAACTACTTTGAATTTAGGTTGTGGAGATGAGCACAGAACAAAAAGCTGGCAAGAGTGCTGTAAGTGGTTTTAACAAGGAATTCCACTGATCTTTCCAAAGTTCAGCATAATTAAGCATTAAGATGTAAACATCATCAAGTCCTTCACATCAAACTTGGTTCCTTGCAGGCCACAGGTCTGCAGAGATTAGCCTTTTTATCTTCTAACACTCTGAATTCTGTTCATCAAGGCCCTGCTAGTTAGCTGATAAGTTGAACCAGGTGTGTTGAATGATGCAGGAGTCTGCATATGAAATGAGTCACTGGGTCAGAATGGTAGTGATAAGTGGTAGGAACCAGACATCTGAAGTGTTTTATGCTTCCTGAAGCTACCTCACAGAAACTTACGTGAAGTTATGGAATTACAAACACCTTGCCTGATATAAGAGACATTATAAAACGAATAGTTCCGGTCATAAAATCTGTTTGGCTGAGCCGCATTCGAAGTCCCTGAAGCACCATCTTTTTTTAAGAGTGTAGTATAGCCACAGCTGAGCAAGCCAACGTGTCTGTCTAAATCTCATATTTGCTCCGTGGCTATCAGTGCAAGGAGAGAGAATGAGAGCAGGAGGGCGGCAACAGAGGTAGGGCAGGTCGAGCTGACATGGAAGTGAGCAAGAAAACAGCATTTCACCCCTGTCCAAACAAAAAAAACACATATCTCCATTTGTTTCCAGTGTTTATTTCCCTACATCAGTTCAGCCTTTGCAACGAAAAACAGTATATGTGAACATTTTTTATAAAAATCATATAAGCATGGTATTTTTTGCTCTGTATGTAATATAAAGGAGCCACTAAAACATAAATAAAGCACAGTTTGGCTTTTTTTAATGTAAAATCATGTGCAAAATAACATAGAAAACATGTTTTTGGGGTAATTTTGGTCTAAATATCAAATTGAAACTCACTGTATCATATTGAGAACACACTACATAGCCTGTTGACAAACAAGAGAGGATTAACAGCCAATTAACAGCCCGATTCTGTCCTTCATTCCACTGTGACAGCGCTATGGATCTGAAAGGATGTGTAGCTACTAAGAATGAACTTGCAAGAAGCTTGGGATAATATCCTTTCTTTTCTTTAAAATACTGAAAGCAAGTCTCCCTAAAAGAATGGAAGTTAAAATAATGGGAGAAAATGGACACAAGAAATACTGCCATGTCATCCCTTGGATTTGCAGAGCCACCTGTAATGCAGTAATGCAATCAATATTGTAGCACGCTGCTGCTGGTTTGCACTGCTGGCGCTGCAGAGCGGCTGTGTAAGAGTGGCTACTGGGAAGCGTTGTGTTTGCGGTAGGAGAGACATTAATGAGTAAATAAGTTGATGTTGTTGAGTCTAAAGTATGTACATGTTATTTGTGATCTGCCTGCTTCCTGGCTGTTCAGTTAGCACTGAGCAAATGTTCTTCCTAGCTGCCTGTTCAATAAAAGAGCAGTTGTTTTTAAAGAGCAGAGTTGCCCATGTGTTATTGTTCACTGACACCACACTGGTGTCAGAAGTGGGATAGCATTCCCTAGCAGACTGGAGAGGAATGGTGGTTCCAAAAACTCAAGGTGGATGGCAGAGAAGACTGAGCCCAGCCGAGGACTGCGGAAGAGGAAGGAGTGCAGCTAGGACGGGTGGCAGAAGAGGAAGCAGAGTGGCAAGGCTCAGCAGCAGAGCCCAGCTGGATGATGGTGGCTGACAAGTATCTATTAGTGCCACGGCCCTTCAACGACACTTCAAGCAGGCTCTGGCAGTGTGGTTGCCTGAGGCCGGGGCTCCAGTGCACATTAGCAGCTCGTCAATGGCGCAGCAAGGGACAGAGGAAATGGAAAGAGGCTGATGGAGTCCCACTGGTGTTGTTGCCACCACCAGTAGCATGACAATTGCCCCCACAAGCTGCAAGGAGTTCCTCTGCAAACAGGGAAGAGGACAAAGCGCTCTGTCTCTCCGCTGCTAAAGTTATTTGTGCTATTCTGTTAGTGTAGTGTTAGTGCCTCCTGTCAAGTAGAGTTGTAGAGTTTTATGCCTGTTTCCCAGCCATTCACTCATACCTGAGTGGCGGCTCTCCCTTGCTGCCTGTTCAATAAAAGAGCATTCGCCTTTACAGCGCAACGTTTCCCGTCTTATTATTCGCCAATACCACAATATGTTGTTAATATAATGACATGGTTTGAGGAAGCAACACTTAATTCAATCTGTCTTTAACCTCATCACCAGTGTTGTCCTTTGGAGTTTACCTCCGCTGTTGTAATTAGGGCCGCAATTTCATGCAAGATTAGGCATGCAATTATGTGTTAAATAAGTGGTATGAGCAGGGGATCTCAATGAAAAGAACACTGCTAACAAGACTCACTGGATGCTACAGCATCTGTACAGTAGAAAACTCATCTAGCTTTTACTTTCTTCACTCCTCAAAGTCATGTACTAAGCTGGGATATTGCTTAGGAATGCAAAGGCAAATTAATGTTTTCTATTAAACCTGCTTTATCTAATTTGCTTTAGGAGGTAAAATGAGTGAGTGTTTTACTTCTCACTCCTCATGAGCTCTCGGGTGGAGTTTGCTGGCGGACAGTTGTTAGAGGAGAGGAGAATAATCAGTTATCATTTCCATGTGTCAGGCCTCCAGAAGGCAGGATTAGTGCGTCATTTAGCCACAGACACATTGACACACAGGCTAACGCTCTCAGGAACACTGTACCCCAGTCTGCGCTGCACCTTATGGCTGATCCACGGGGAATGCATCTCGACAACTCACTGTTAATACATAAAGGTGTGTTAGCTATTCATTAGCCTCTGTAAAAGCCATTACCCAGTGGCGTGTGGCACCTGCATGCAGAAAAGCAATGATCTTTTGCTAGGACACAGATGTAAAATGCTCAGATCTCACTATGAACAACAGAATTGTAGTGTAGTTTCAATGTGCGTTGGAGTCATGAAGGGCTTGGCGAATGCAATGATCCATGGCAACGATTTCAGAATGGTCCAGATGTTTTGGGTGTGCTCCAAATGTCTTTGTTGGTGAAAACATAAGAGGTTCCTATGAGACGCTGTGTTCCGCTGCAAGGTGATTACAAGGGCAAATACCAACCATTTGGCTAGACAATAAAAAGCATATTGATGAGGAGTTTCATCTGAGTGGAAAATATTGCCACTGGCTCGAGTCTCCAGTCTGCTCAGGGTGACTTAGCCTCAGTGCTTATCTGTGATTGAACATGGCAGCCTTCTGAGCTTTTCTGAATGACTGAGAGGTGAAGGAGCTTCAGAGGAAATCGCACAAAAAGTGTTTAAGCTTTTAGCCCCCAAGGCATTCAGTAGAGAGAGTTTGTGCATTGCAGACTGTCAGACATAGGCTTGGATGTCAGTTATCTGCCTGAAGTGTTGGCCTGCTTCAATATCAGCTGTAAATACTAGGAAGATCCTTGTAGGAAGGCTTCCCATTCACTATGAGTTTGAGCTGTTACCTGGGTGATGCTTCTGGGTGTCAATAACTAAGATAAACCTTATTTTCAGTGCCTTTGGTCTCATAGAATGTCCCTCAGAATGACTTTGTTTACATCTCAACAGTTGAATAGATGTAGATAATATATGCAAAAATATTGGAATTTCCCTTTAGTGCCATCATGTAATTGACCTTGCTTCATGTTTGTTGAGAACGTGTGTATTATTATTATGAGTTTTACTGTGACAGAAGGAGACTGAAGGCAAATTTCAAAAAAAAGCTACAAAATAGAGTTGTATTCTATTATACACACAAACACAGTTTTCTTATCAGTGGCATTCCCAGCGTTCTCCTCTGGGGCAGGGTTCGAATCTTTTATTGTGGGTTATCAAACGTCCGTCCTGAATTAGAAGTTGCAGCGCTGCCAGTTTCCTTTGGCACCGCTGTGAACAGAGCTCGTAAACAAATGGCTCAGTCTGACTAGCGGAGCTCTCACAAATGGAATTATACGCTCTGAGAGCAGAATGCAGCATTCTGCCAGAGCAGCCAGAGAGAAAAATGTCTTGTCCGTCCAAATATGCAGGCAGCCGATACACGGTTGATGGTCGAGACGCGCCATGAAATGGTTGAGGGGTCACTGAGACGGTGACTTGTGAGCTGTCATACAATCCCACCTATCGCCTGGCAGTAACTGGAGCTCTAGATACTCTACAAAACATCACAGTCACTTACTCTCTGACTCTGTCACTCACTGAGTCACTCACTCAATCACTCATTCATTCACTCAGTTATTCATTTAGTCACTCTCTCACTTATTACTCAATTACCCATCCCCTCAGTCATTCCCTCACTCATTCACTCTCTCCCTCCCTCTCTCAATCACACAATCATCTATTCCCTCAGTCACTCACTTAGGCAATTACTGACAGTCAGTCAGTCAGTCACTCACCCACTCACACATTCACTTACGCAAGCACTTATTCCCTCAGTTGCTCCCTCACTCACTCACTCCCTCCTGCAATCTGACATTCACTCAGTCACTCAGTCACTCACATACAAAGTCGCCCATCCACACACTTACACAATCACACATTCATACACTTATACAAACACCCATTCACACACTTACACAATCACTCATTCACACACTTACACAATCACCCATTCACTGAGTCAGTCAGTCAGTCGATCCGTCACTATCTCGCTCATTTACATAATCACCCATTCCCTCAGTCACTCATTCATTTACACAGTCACCCATTCCCTCAGTCACTCATTCATTTACACAGTCGCCCCTTCCCTCAGTCACTCATTCATTTACACAGTCGCCCCTTCCCTCAGTCACTCATTCATTTACACAGTCACCCATTCCCTCAGTCGCTCATTCATTTTCACAGTCACTCATTCCCTCGGTCACTCATTCATTTACAATCACCCATTCCCTCAGTCACTCATTCATTTACACAGTCACTCATTTCCTCAGCCACTCATTCATTTACACAGTCGCCCATTCCCTCTGTCATTCATTCCCTCAGTCAGTCAGTCAGTCAGTCACAAAATCACACATTTTCTTAGTTGTTCCCTCACACAATCATTCAATCACTGGCTCACAAAAAATAAACAAACAAACAACCTAAACAAATTATAAACAATATTATAAATCATAAACAATAATGTCCTGTAAGTAGGTCCAGACTTCAGTATTTTACTTTCAGATCTACATCACCTGCATACTAGCTTTAGGGTAGTTACTGGAGAATTAATAGTAGCTACTAGTTAATAAATTTTAAGATTAGAAAGTGAATAATAGTTGAGAGGTTAAGGGGTATAACACGGCAAATGAAGGGTCCATTAAAAAGAGCTGGGTAAGCTTTTATCTCCCCTGTTGGTTCACACATAGCTCACACAAGAGGAGTTCAAGTGAGCCCACTTTGTCACACGCGCAGGAGTGTGCAGTCAGTCGCAACTCACAAGGGTCCAAGCACCTGTGTCACCACTGTGCTACTCCATCAAGGCCAATCAGAGTCTGGCTGCTGAGGACGAGGAGGCTCAGAGCCGTGTGTGCTCGCTCTCCCCTCACTCTCCCCTCTCTCGCCCCTTCACTTGCACTGCTGGGGATCAATGGCATGGTGGGCGCTCCTCTCCCTGCCCACCACTCTCCTCATTATCCCCCCATCCCGCTGCTCGCCGCCTATGAATAGTCAATAACAAACAAGCGGGAAGGAAATGAGGGAGCAGATGAAGGCGGCCCCGCCGATTGATGTGTGCGGTGTTTGTGGAGAGCTGCTTTATTCAGGTGGACAGACTTCACTCCACTGGAGGATTATCCTTTGATCGCTTTCACCTGCTCTTTTTCTCTGGAAAAAGGATCTCTTTATTCTGGTTTATGGTTCCTGGGCTTTTTAAAACTTGATCAAGAAGGACATTTTATTGATGGACCCACTACTTTGACTGCTTAAGTTGGGCTTGATGTTAACCAACCTCTTGTGCTTGGTGGAGTGTCTTGGGACACAGTGAGGGACCTGGATTCAGGAGGAGAGAAGTGCTTGTCTGTAAGAGATTCACATTTCTCAAGCTCCTGTCTACCATTAGTGGGAACAATGGCGAGAAACGAGATCTATGTGCTCATGGTTGACTGAGAGTGTGTGTCCCTCCCTGCTAGATTGTCCAATCAGTCCGTAGCCAGTGCTTTGGAGAGTGCCGGACACAGTGGAGCGGCTGGGAGGATGTTCCTGTGGGCTGGAACCAAAGGAGCTCAGAGACCAAACGAAAGAAGGTAAGATGCTACGTCATAACAAGAAATATAAATGTATGATTAATGTAAATAACTGCCAACTGCTGTTGTTGATAAGTTGTATATTAACTCATATCCCCAAAATAGTAACTTTACAGGAGAAGGAAAAAAACCTTGTTAACTTTTAATGCAAGTTAATGTACAGAGGTTTTATTCCACGTCAGTTTGGAGGATTTCTATTGGTCCATTCATCATGAAATATTGACTCAATGTAAAAGACAGCTACTGTGTTCAAATACTGCAGGAAAAATACAAATCAATAAAAATTGAGCTGCACGTTTCCTTTTTTCGACAACAATGATCTGAGCTAAATGTGAAAAGAATCCTGAAAGCTTAACAAAAGGTGGTTCAAAGAGAACAACAGGCTCAAGAGGCTGTCATATATGAAAAAAAGGAATTCTTTGGATTTACTTGATTTAAACATACATTTATGTATCATTTCCACATGAATAAAATACATTACACAATTCAACCATATCAACATAGTTTAGCTTTGTGTTCCAGGTTGCTTACGTTTAGCAATTGTGTTGAGGTAATATTGCATTTGTATACAAGCACAAATTATATATACAATATGAATTCATCAGCTTCATCAGCTCAAAGCAACTTTAAACCTTCTTTTCTTGTCTTATTTAATCTTTTGTGCATGTAATACAGATTTTAAGAACAGCAACAGGCAGCTATTGCTTGCAGATATTGTTGTTTACTTTAATTGCATGTTTACTGTTTTAATAATGACACTTGTTATTATGCGCTAAAGTTAAATGAGGCATGGAAAAGACAGGAGGGAATCAGACATAATCATTTTCGTCTCACAGAAAGTCTTTAAAGTCATTAAAGGGCCCATAGCTTACATTTTTCCTGTATTTTATTTTCTCCCTTGAGGTATAGAACTTTGTGTGGTTTTATGTACCAAAAATGGACATAATTCATGTTAACATGGCCATTTTCCAACATCTCTTTATCCTCTCTTTATCAATTTATTAGAATTCAACTGGCTTTTTTGATACTGTGCATTTAAGTCTGATATTAGATTACTGAGCTCTGTTCTAAATAGATGTCCTGAATTGTGCCTCAGTCAAAAAGCACTAAGAGCTGAAACTCTCCATAAAACTTCAGTGTGAATGGGCGGAACTAAACTGCTGTAGGCTGAATAAGTGAGTATATGTAAATAAGTTGGGTCTTGTGAAATCACAGAAACAATCAATAAAAAATGGACTGTGTTTGCAGCACAGTTTCCACATGTGCGCTGTATTCACTGAGTTTTGAAACTTTAACAGTGTTTACATACTACTTAAACTGTAATTAAAACAACAACAACAACAACAAGGGAACATGATATGGGCCCTTTTACCCCTTAAATGGCCAGGGTTTTATTACACACTTCTATAACCCAAATATAGTTTAACAAGTTTAGTTACTGCATAATGAGCCCTAGCATGTAATAAACCTGGGATTATAAGGGGTTATGCTAGCATATATATATATATATATATATATATATATATATATATATATATATGTACATATATATATATATATATATATATATATATATAATAAAGTGTTTCAAGTTTTAAGCAAAGTTTAGTTTACCGCTTAAAACTCCAAGCTGAAATCCCAGAATGTCTTTTAAACATACATTTAGATTTATGCGATTTATGCTGTCATTTGTAAATGGATTTTTGTATGAAGCATGCAGTTAAGGTAGTAGGGCTTGTAAATCAAACCCCCTTTCACTTTCTGTCATTGACTATTCATTGATTGTCCCTTAATCTCTGATACACCTCCACAGGACTGTTAATATAAGTTTAATTTTTCAGGTCAAATTCCATTACATCTTTGCACTTTCATTGGCTGAATGTCAGTCACTTTTCCAGATTAACGGCAAAGTTGTTAGCCATTTGCTTTGTGTATGTTTGTGCATGCTTGTCTGTATGTATGCAGTCTTTATGGGTTCTCTTTGTCTTGGGTATTAGTGTGTATTCTAATGCTATCGTTCTTTCTGCCTTTCATCAGAACCATTTATCAGAAGATCAGGGAGTATGACATTCTGGACAAGAGGAAGACTGTGACCGCTCTGAAGGCTGGTGAGGACAGAGCCATTTTCCTGGGCCTCAGCATGATCTTCTTTTCTGTCATGATGTACTTTGTCCTGGGCATCACAATGGTGCGCTCTTATTCAGACAGGTAAGACCACTGAGTCACTTTTTAGTACTTTATTGTAACTTCCAAATAATACTGATGGCTGTTTGACATTTTACAGAAGGTTTGATCCTTAATACTTGAAAATTTAAAATGTAAAAATATTTATGTACATACACTGCAAAACAAAAAAAAAAACAGTAAAAAGTCTGGTAGTTAACAGTATGTTTTCTTAGTGATGGTACAATCTGTAAAATTAGTCATTTTGTGTCTCAGAAATGTATGCCTTTCAATGTAATTTAACCATTTTACTAGTTCAACTAGTTATTCTAACATATAGTATTGTGTATGTTACTTACCATAATAGCAGTAACATCTATTAAAAAAAGGCAAATGTCTGTGAAGTAAAGGTGATCATGTGTTTCTGTGAATTTCTGTAAATTAACAGGAGTGTTTAAATGCAGTATTTGTATGGTTTATTTACGTGTTACACCGTTTTTCAAAAACAGATTTGACCACTACATTTTATAGTACTTGACGGTGAAAATACTTTCTGTGAGTAAACATAGTATGTTAAGCAATGAATTCTGTTTACATTCAGTTCTGTACTGACAGAGTCTGCACTCATTCCAGCTATTTTGATGTCAATCAAGGACAAAAAACATATAAAAAAATGTAAAGGATGTTTTTTCTTACTGCAAAACAAGACTGTATATCCAACACACAGTTTTAATTTGCATGATTCAGATGTGTCAGTTGTGTGCACATGAATAAAACGTGTTATATCAACCGCAGTTGTGTAGATGTAGCGTATTTTATTTTTGTGTAACCAACGGACATATTTGAATCATGTAAATTCAAAGCACTGTTATTTCAATGCAAATTTCCTTAGATTCAAATACTATTAACATTTCTCCTCTTCTGCTTATAAACACAAATGTGATATCACTTGATTAGATTAGATTAGGACTCAGACATCAGAATTCCTCCACTTGTTTCAATGAGCTACAAGTGAAAAATAATATCAAACTACAGCATACTTGCTATACTTGCAACTTCTGTTGGTTAAATGATGAAAGCAATAATGAAGTGATGAAAGCAATAATGCTTTGTTTCCAAAATCAAAGGAATCATAACAACGTTTGGATGTAAATGATCATAAGAAAAGCTACAATGAAAGGATTTTCATAGTTCCTACAATATGTACCTTGACACTACACTTATGTATTATTTTGGAGGATTTGTATGTTACTTGAGTATTATTAGAATTAAATAGTTGTACTTTTATGCAATTATGGTTCCAAAAGGAAAACTCACTTTTTCTTTTACTAATCAGTTTGAGTTCCTGCTCATTTGATTTTTTTATATATAAATTCATAGCATTGTAAAATGATGTGACAAAGTAGCCGTACTTTCACTTAAAGGGGAACAACTATTAATTAAGTCATTGAGATGTAAACAAAGTCATTCGGAGTGGTTTTCTGTGAAATGGTTTATTGTAAAGAAAACTTACCAACAGGTGCAGATTTTATTACAGTGGTGGTGATAGGAACCAGGTTCCTGAAATATAGCCATCTTATTTACTATCCAAAACCACCAGTGAACTTGCATGTGTTTTAGTTTTTATGTGTAAGGTTAATAATGTTAAAACAGTGATAAATCTGGAAAAATAAGTTTTCTTTTACTATTTGTTTTACTATTTTGCCTTACAACACCCTGCATCTGCCATTCACCATGAATTTCAAAATAGATGTATGTGTAAGGCCAAAGCTGTACCTCACATAACTATCATAAAACAATGTCTCAGGCATCAGATTGCATATCCCTAACAATTTCATGTAATAACTTTTGTGAGGGAGCTTTCAGAGGCATTAAACTCTTCAGACTTTTGGTTCCTGTCACTATCACTGTGAACAATTCTGATTAAATTTCATGTGTCAAACCACTCTGAATGACTTTAAGTATATTTAAGTTCTCTACTTTCCACCCTGGCAGCATTAATAATTTGTTCACATGAGCTGTTATAACTTGCCAGTTTGGACAAACATAGTACAAAATCCATCATAAACAGTTCTGTATATGTTTCTCCTCAGGCCATCTCCATCTGTGTAGATAGCTAATTGTGTTGATGACAACAGTTAGGCACTTCAGTTGTCTCTGTCCTCATTCCCTGGGTAAGCCTCAGATAGAGAAACTATGTCAGGAGCTGAAATTGAGCTGTGGTGAGCACGTGCAAATACCTCTGACCCTGTGCAGAATGTGCGTGGATAGGCGTTGGCATGATGTTCAGCCAGAGGCAATTAATATCACAGCTGAGCCTCAGGACTGGCGAACGAACTGGCGGTCTCAGTTTCAGATAGAAGGCCTGACTGGCAGACAGGGGCAAGACGTGATGCACTGCACAAACGGCTGAAACAATAGAGCTCTGGTATGTCACTGTGCATTCTGATGACGAACGCACCTGTCATGATCCCTACAAATAACCTTGCTCTTCATGATACAAACGGCTATAAAGGTATTTACAGCCAGGTGACTGACTATACCAATGCCAATACTGCAAACAAGTACAAACTTAACCACCCCATATCCTTCACAGTTAAAGTAAAGACTCTTTGACTGATGATAGAAGTTTTTCGGCACTTCCGAAGATCAACCTGCTGTGTAGCATTTCTGAAGACCCACCTGCAGTCAAGGGGAAAATAAGTCATCAGTGTGGAAATGGGATAATCCAAAGGTGACGCTGGAACTAAAGGGGGACTTCCTCACATGTAATTGAGTTTGATGTCATTGCATTCCATGCATACAAATGTTCTTTAGCAAGGCAGGGAATGGAGCCAGAGGGGATGTGAAAGGTATATGAACTGTAGTTCTGCTTGACAAGTAGCGCTAGATTAGAGCTAATTTCATTCAGATGAATAAATATGTCTAGGAAAAACGTTTTGTTAGGAAAACCAAAAATACAAATAAAAACAGTGATTGTAAATACTTTGACCTATATTTGAATGAAAACAATACAAAGACAAGATATGTAATGTTTTACCTTTTGCATATACGTTCATTCTGAAATTGATGTCTGCAACACATTCCAAAAAAGTCAGGACAGTTTAGGAGTCGTTTAAGACTAGTAATATTGTAAAATGTTCAAAAAACATCTAAAACAGGTGTTGCAGTCATGCTTGCATATAAAAGGAGCATTAAAAACCAGCATGTTTCTGTGATGGATATCACCACATGGGCTTGGGAGCACTTTGACAAACTTTGCAAGTTCAGACTGTACTACATGGAAGTTAACAGCACCCAGAAACACTGCTGACTTCTCTGCACTCAAGTTCATTTGAAATTGATTGATGGGCAGTGGAAACGTACTAATTGTTTAAGGAAATAATGGGTATCATGTTCTCTGGGCCAAATAAGAAAAGGACTATCCCGGCTGTTACTATTGTAAAGTTCAAAAGCTATTAAATATTATTGAAAGGAAAGTGATATAACATAGTGGTAAACATGCTCCTATCCTAACTTTCTGAGAATGTGTTGCAGGTATTAAATTTGTAATGAGCGTATATTTACAAAAACAATGATGTTCATAAGGTAAAACATCAAATACTGTGGCTTTGTACCATTTTCAATTTAATACAGGTCAAACTGAATTTCCTAATTATTGTTTTCTATTTTTATTAGCATCTCACATATTATGCCAACATTTTGTAATTGGGTTGTATTTATTTTTTGTGAAATACTTGCTTCTAAAGATGCCACACAGAAATGAGGTTCCATAGGTCATAGAATAATTTTTGGAAATTCTAATTTATTGCTGACACAGCAACACAGTGTACTCCACCACTTATGCTATAATTTTCAGTCATATGACCGGATAACGAATAAGAAGTCTTCATTTTCTACTGAAGCTCTCAGGGGTAGAAGCACAGATAACTGAAGCAAGCTATCTACAAGCTAATGCTAGCTGTCAAACCGATAAAAAATAATTTTATGACATCACTGAACGCTTTTATGCTTGAGTTCTATGCCCTGTGGAAGCCTTTGAGAGCTTCTGTGATGTTTTTAGCAATTTTCATCACAGTTTATTGGGGCATGAATGGGGGTACCTGGGGGTATCAAGCTGGGTAATTCTTTAACTTCAGCTAACAGACACCTACGTCATCTAGCATCATGCTTAGTGATGAGGGGAATGGGAGGGCCATCCTACCCACCCAGAAAGAGTGAGGCCAATCTTGGACTCCCAGCTTTCAATGGCTGTGGCATCACCAGTGACTGAACATGCAATCTCCCAACGCTTACAATCTCCCAACGCTTACAATCTTCCAACGCTTTGAGGCTACCAGCACTTAGATGGCTGCAAGTTCTTGGTGGTCTTTCCCCTATGACATGTAGGCCTTGAAATGCCACTAACCTTTTGTTTAATTATTTCTTACTTGTAGCTCAATGAAACAGAAAAATTCTGTGAAAAGTGTGGATTTAAAACTTTCAGATGGAACCAAATTTGCATTTAAAAGAGTTTTCGGTAACACTTTCTATGAATATCACCTTTGTAAGCATCTATAAACACATTCATAACATGTTATAATGCATTCATAAGACATTATAAACATACCTATAAATTTTTATAAAAATACATTATACATTATAGCCATGTTTATTATGCATTATGAATTGTTAACATAATGCATTATAAGTACTGATCATAACAAATTATAAGAGCTCATAAGTCGTATTTGTCCGCTCTAAGTAAAGTGAAGCATACTGTACTAAAGCCTCCTCCAGTGTTAAGAGTGAGGCTTCAAGTTGAAGTATTTACTGAAGGATTTACTGAAACACTAAAACATTCACAGTAAACCACATTACAGGCTTCAAATGTCAGAGTTTAAACTAGGGCTGCCATCAGTGTTTTACCCAATGTGGGAAAGGTAATGTACAGCAGCGTTAGCTTGGTATTTGTCTTTACTTTGCACTCTCCAAGCTGGGACTGATTTCTTTGGCACTGACATTATAACATGTTATTCACACTATTTATAATGCATTATATTAACAATTCATAATGTATAATAAACATGGCTATAAAGTGTAATTCAGTTTAATTCTTTTTAATAAATATTTATAACCATGTTTGCCTTATGAATACATTATAACATGTTATAAATGTGTTTATAGATGCTTACAAAGGTGACATTCATAGAAAGTGTTACTGAGTTTTTTTTTATAATATTGAACTTGAACAAACGAACATGTTGTAGTAATGCAAGCTAACAAGTATTTGTAAAGAATTTTTGTAGTGTGTTCAGTGACGTGCTTCCCTCCAGTCCCACTGTTACTATGTCCCAGCCCCAGGATTCCATTTCCCAGAACACCCCACCTGATCACATGACCCCAGATCTACTTCACATGACTCTCCACCATTCCACTTCACCTGATTACTGATTCAGCTCACCTGTTAAGCTCACTATAATAACCCCCTCAGTTTGTTTGCACTTTGTGGAGTATTGTCTTTGTTCACAGAGCCTTACTGAGCCTTCCAGTCTGTTGGTTTGCTTTTCCATGTATGACCATTGCTTTGTTTGTTTTTGACTTTGTCTTCTGCCTAGCCTTCTTAGTATTGGTAGTATTCTGGTTTGATCTTTTTTTTTTTTGGATTTTGGACTTTCCTTATGGTTACTGTTTTCGTGATTTGGCTGTTGACTTTGGACAGATTGACATTAATTTTGGATGCTCCTTTTTCCAATAAACCTATTTTACTTCAGTTTGATCTGCAAGCATGAGTGAACTAGCCTTGTGACCGGTCGCCGGCTCGATCCCCTGAGCCGACAGTACATGACTGATGGGCCCTTGAGCAAGGCACCTAACCCCCAACTGCTCCCCAGACACCGTGGATAGGGCTGCCTGGGGAGTCTGTATGTTCACTAGTGTGTATGTGGTGTTTTACTGCGTGGATGGTTTTGATTGCGGGGGTGAAATTTCCCTGTTGTGGGACTAATAAGGGTCACTTATCATGAATTATGTAAGTGTAAATATTACATAATGTAATGAACTATATGAATGTGTAATAATTAAGTAATGTAACAATAACAATTACAGAAAGAGGCATAGCACAAAATTCTGAGGCCCCCCAGTAAGGCTGTGGGGTGAGGTTGGAGCACGGGTGTGGCATAGGATAAAGCAACCTGCCACTGACACACTCAAATGGCAATAATGCAAATTCATGACCGCTTGTTCCTGTTCGAAAATCTGATTAGCTGAATCATGTTCGAAGCAGTTGTGACCACACAAAAGTACAGCTGCTCGCCCCCCCACTCCCCCGCAGTGCATGCCCTGCTCAAAAATGACTTGGTATGCATGCATATCTGCACTCTGATTAATGATCTTAATGATTTCTTTTAATGGTCAAACTACAGTAGTGCTATAAATAACAAGGTCATAGAGAAACACATAAAACTCAGTGTGATTACAATTGTACCAACAAAATAATACGTTTCTGGGATGCCATGGTTTTAGTTATGCATAGTCTCTCTCTCTCTTTCTCTCTCTCTCTCTCTCTCTCTCTCTCTCTCTCTCTCTCTCTTTCTCTCTCTTTCTCTCTCTCTCTCTCTCTCTCTCTCTCTCTCTCTCTCTCTTTCTCTCTCTCTCTCTCTCTCTCTCTCTCAGTGTGTGGACGGAGGAGTCGAGTTGCACAGTGTTAAACTCTAGTATAATTGCTGAGATTAACTGCAGCTACAGCTGTGGTGCAGAGTGTTGGAAAAGCTCCAGATATCCATGCCTGCAGGTGTACGTCAGCCTGAACTCTTCTGGCCGTGTCCTGCGACTCTCCCACAATGAGGAAGCCCAGGAGGCCAACCCCGAGGTGCATATAAAACACAAAACACACAATGTAAACCAAATACTCTGAACTTCCTCAAGTGTTCTGGGGCAAATCTGTTTAATGTGGGGAATTTTCCAAGAAAAAACAGGCCAGCTGTCACGTGTGTCAAAGTCTTCCTTCACTTTTCTCAAAAGAAAGCATGCATAACTGTATTTGGTGTTTGCTGTATGGCAACGTGACAGCCAGTCTTTTGAAACACAAAACAGTTTTGCTTGTATGAAAATTAAAAAATGCTGACTTATCTATGACCACACTGTCCCATCAGTGCTTATAATCTTATAATAATTTTTTTCTCTTTTTTTTTCTCAAATCATCCTCTTTCAGAATTTGTTGCCTTAAAGTAAGGCCATTAGAATTTTCCTCACTTTTTTGAAATAAAAGAGTTTGAAATGTGCTTAAACATTGGTAAAGTTTCAAAACATACCATCCACTCTTCAGTACAAATATGGAAATTAAGCTGCAACAGCAAAAATGTAATTAGCCCAAGGCAGAATAGCCCCGCCCATTCAATCAGAATAGAAGTCCTTTACATGTATCAGTTATAAAGGCACAGTAACAAAAACAGCAGTTTTTCCATAAGGGACAAAAAGGGGTTTGAAAAACATCAATAATTATGACTGTTTTTAATACATAAAACCACACAAAAGTTATAAGTGTGCTCTTTGACCCCTTAAATGGCCAGGGCCACCGTTAGGCCCAAAGAGTAGCTCAACCAGTTTGCATTGAATTCCCTGTAGATATCGCATAATGCGCCTTAGTATGTAAACAGCCTGGGATTTTAAAGGGTTAAGCAGAAACTATAGCAGGTTTTAGTACTGAAATCAATAGGAACACTAAAGAATCAGAAATATGGGCCCCTTTTAGCCACTCTCCCTATTAATTGTCTATTCCCTGTTTGGCAGTATTTTACGATGGTCAGTATTGTGGTTTGTTTACAGGCACTTGTCCCTAAATGGAACTTATCTTGGATGTGGTAAATTTTATCCTGTCATTTTCATTACAATTTTCTAGTATATGACTGTATATGGCTGTGAAATGAGCAGACACAGCTAGTGAAATGTCCACCCTCATAACAACTGAAGGGTGAGACAAAAGGCAACTTGACTTTAATGAAAACTCAGTAATTGCTCCTGAGTCATTACCGCACTTACATGTATTAGCGGTTAAATGTTTATTAGAATTCCATGTCCTGGGTAATTGACTGTAGAGCTGGCTGCTGTAGAATTACAAGACTTGTGAGGATGAATTAATAGGTGCTCTGCTGTTTCCCAAACATTTACAGTTTCAGTTACTGCAATGGTTCCTATGCTGTAATATAGCCACTTCAACTCAGTGAGCACTTGCTAATTAGCTGATTAGTTGGATCAGGTGTGTTATAACTGGGAAAGCACAAAAATATGCAGAGCAGTGGAAGTCCAGGAGCAGGATTGGGAGCCACTGATTTACACGATTATCCTTGCTTGCTTGTGAAAATTATAAAAGGGTATATTCCCTTAGAGGTGGACAATAATGATTTAGAACAACTCTCACTATTTCAGTACAGTTTTTTTGGGGGGGTGAGAGTAATTAAATCACAGTAATTTAACCTTGACTTTAGTTTTTTATAATAAGATATTTGAGTCAGCTTTTGTATGTTTAACCTTTTAAATGACCAGGGCCTGCCAGTGGACCCCAAAGTTTTATTACACATATCTGTAACCTAAGAATAGCTCAGCCAGCTCTAAAGTCCCTGCAGGTATTGAATAATAGGCCTCAATTTGTAATTACCCTGGGATTTTAAGGGGTTAATGGTGGAGTAAAAAATTAAATGGCTGATGTATTTTGCCCACATTCTCCTCTTTTGATTGACTTGGCAGTTCTAATCTTGAGTAGTGCTCACATTAGCAGTACCCCCACCAGTCACAAGGCAGATGTGGCTAACAAAACTGTGTTCCCCTATGGTCAAGGTGCAAAACGCAGGGAATCCTGGGGGTCTAGGACTCCCTACTTAACTTCTTGGACCCACCTGAATGTCTAAAACTCAAAATTCTTGGGGGTCCATGAAAATAAACCTATTGTGACATTATTCTGTTCATTAAGGGTAAATAGACACACAAATACAAATTCAGGGAAAGGTCATTGTTTAGCTGCTTCACCAATGGGGAACTTTGTGTTTAATATTCCTAACCAACTCAAAATGCAGCACTAATCTGCCTCAGGGTGGCACTGTAACATATTGGTTCACTCAGTTGGTCCTTCATAGCCTAGCAGCTCCACCCAGGATACTTGTGAAAAACTTTACAACATGCACCACTTGCCCAATTTCCCAAGAGTTTGGTGGAAAAAGTGAATTGTTACTTATTTAAGCATTTCCAAAAGAATAATTGTTGAACAAAATATTTTGTTATCTTTAAAGCTAGCATCAGTGCCAACATGAGATCCCCCGAATACCAGGGAGTGTTTTGCACATGGCCTATGGCTTGTCTGATTTTGAGTCAGAGAGAAAGCTAACCACTAAGCAAAAGCTAACCTAGCAAGCATAACTGAGCTAGCAAGCTAGCTTATTTGTCTAATTATCATAGTGTGTTCCAGAAATGTGTACATATTAAATCCAGGCTGTTTGTTCTACAGCATTTATTCACTGAGTCATTCTGCTAAGGACTCTTATTGTGAAGGTAGGGCTAGTTCAGTCTCAGGGGGGTATGCGTAGAGCAGGAAGAACTGAAAGGCACTCAGAGCTGAGTGCTGAGAGAGGCAGACGTGAGAGTGAACTGTTAGAGAAAACTGAGTTTATGTATGCTGTAGCTGTGGCCAGCTGGTTCATAAAGCACTACAACTAATAGCAGTGAATGCTACATTATATTATCGTCTGTCTGTCCTTCAGCATTTCTTCCATTCGTTTGGTCAACCGGCCATGCCAGCATTCCCTGGATGTACATCCAGCAAGTGAAAAAACCTTTTTTAAGATGTCATCATATAAAAGCTAGATAATATTTTAGTGCGCCATGAACACCACAAGGTCTACAACACCATCTGTATATGTAGAGACCATTTTACTCATTCGTCATTGCTTGCGCTGTTGTGTTTAGTTTTGCTTCAGTGGTATAGTTGACTGGGAGTGCTGGACTTCAATGTCAATCAAGCATGCTCATTAGAATATTAGGGCCTAAATGTTTTTTATGTCATATTTAAGTCACATTTTATTATATTGCTTGTGTTTTTCATTAAAACTTAGCTGGATATTTAATATAAACACCAAACTTTAGTAGAACACTTTAGTAGACATTTTTAATATTTTGCACTGTGTTCCCTGGGATTTTAACCTTTTGGCAAAACAACCCATTACAATGCGCACAGCACCAAAAACTACTCACTCTTGAACAACTAGCCTGTAAATATCCTATAATATTTGATATTCTTGCTCCTAGTCTTGTGTATAAAATGTGTATAGTAGTAATGACTAGTGTCACGATGACAGATAAAATGTAATACATAAACACAATAACTCTCAAAACAAGTAACATTAAAGAATGCAGTTGTGTGAAGTACAACATATGAACATATTTTCGTTGTGTTCAACCACTTGACACCACCTCTGGTCGCTTTTCTGACCCTACAATTATTACTGTTAATCATAAACATGTCCCTCTCTTTTCCTGCAGTGCTTCTATGTCCCTAAGTGCCGTAAGGATCACGCGATGATGCACACCTTGGTGCTGAACATCTCAGAGCGGCTGAAGATGCAGCACCAGGTGCCGTGCTACTACGACCCTGCCGAGCAGCAGGACAGCGTGCTGTTGACCCGTCTTTATGGCAGTAGCGCTATATTTTCCTCACTCCTGTGGCCCACATGCACACTCGTGATGGGCACGCTCATTGTCGCCATGGTGAAGCTCACTCAGTACCTCTCCATCCTTTGTGAACAGATAAGCCGCATTAAAAGGTGAGCCGGCCTGGTCCGGCTGAAACAGCCTGCTGTTTGGTCTGGCAATCATGACACATGCAATGGAAAGAGAGAGCAAATAGAGCACAAACAAATCTCTAACTGCTGTATTCGTCACAGGACTGGTCTTTCTCCACTTGCAGATGCCTTGCCCTCCCTGGACAGTGCCAAAAAGGGCAACAGCATGGTTTGAAAGGTTAAAGGTCAAAGATGGTGGACAGTTTCCTCTGCCAATCTCAGTTTTCTATACCTTCAAAAGAAGAGCAATCATATGAGATGTGTGATCTGCCCACCTATCTACTTTGGTAACCGGTCCAAGGTGTGGTGACAAGGACAGGCTTTTGTCTCGGGCCTTCTCAAACATTCTCAGATGCTAGAAGCTGGAATTACCCAACACACATTGGATGAAGTGCATCTGACTGCAACCTAAAGCCATGTATGTTGTGGAGTGTCGAATGGAGCCTACAGTAAGTTCCTGCCAAGAAACTGCCACTGGTTAGCATATCTCCTGAACAGCTGACTTTAATATATTACACTTGCAGAAACTGGAGCCCACTGACAATGTGAACATGCTTCAGGACTTTCTGGGAAAAAAAAAGAACTGCAGCATTTAAGGTGAAATGTAGCAAACAGATAAATGACCCAAAGCACAGTTTCTGTGACTGTTCTGAACTTAAAAAGCACAAATCTGTAATCAAGTGATGATGCTGTTGCATGTGAGAATGTGAATGATGCAGTTAATTACAGCTCTTATGTTCTATTCACATCTTATTGAGCCACTTATTGATTGATTTGTGGTTACATGTCCAGTCATTTCCACAAAGACAGCAAATTCCACTTAAACTTTGTGTTATTTGTTAAAAATCAATAGCTTATGCATCAGTAAGTACAGTAATGGAGTTGGCACTTAATGACTCTTTTAGGGTGTAATTATTTCTTTTATAGGAAGAATCTCAAGAAGCTGGCTCCTAAGTTCCGAAATAAATTATAACACAAATGAAACTGTCAACTATATCAAGAGCATTTATTAAACTGTTATTATTCTTTTAAACAAAGTGTTACATTCAGTTCTATTGCAGAGACACTGAATATGTCCTATTTATTGCCATATACATGACACTGAAAGTTAGCTAACATGTTAATTTGATTTAAGTAAGTTCAGTTAAACTGTGCATGATAATAGATGGGCTACAGTTTCTAACTGTACACCAGCAAGTACCCAGTGAGTGTGGATCAGTTTTTCACGTGGATGGTTTTGGTCCAGAAATCTATTTTTCGTTATCTGATGGTGGGCAGTGTAATCTTTGAAGAACCCTTAGTGTGATAAATCATGTCAAAGCTGGTGATGAACACAACAGAAAAAAAAAATCCTACTCTTAGACCCTTCCACTGATCTGTGGGCAATCTAACGAGAAATACTGACTTGTGGTGCAGTTCAAAGGTAAGGCCTCAGCGTGTGAGTATGACATGGCATGGTGATTTCAGGAGCTGTTGATTCAGTTGTCCTTGCGAGATGGATTTGCAATGAATGGTACCTGAATCTTGTCTTGAAAGGGCACCTTTTAAAAGTGCAATCAGCTGACCGGCTGTGATGAAACGGCCAGAGTTGGAGACTAATCAGACGGCTGCTCCGCCCATCCATGCAGCTTCCATCCCAGCCTCCCTGACAGCTGCCTCACAGACCAACCCCTTTTGTCCTGAGATGGAGTTTCATAGTTATTTGTAAAACGAGAAAGAAAGCACAGCTGGATGGTGCCATATTATTTGCAGCTGATGAGGCAATTTCCACAGAATTTGTTATTGACAGAAGATAAATGGGGCTGCTTATTTAGACAGGATCATTCACACTTGCCTAGAGGAGTGTTTGAGAGAATCATACGATGACTGTGTAATTTTCTCTCTCTCTCTCCATCGCTCTCTCTCTCTCTCTCTTTGAGTCCATTTGCAATGACACACTATTAGTCCTCCTCTCCAGTTGATGAGACCTGCATTGTGAAGAGGTTTATGGGGTCTGTGAAATGAGGGATTGCTCATAAACCATTGTGTGGTAACAACTGACCAGAGGAGACAATTTCACATTGAAAGCAAGTGTGGCAAATTAAGTGACTGACATTTGTTGAATGATGATTAAAGGAAGGCTGTTTCTGTTTTTACTGTGCATGTTAGAAAAGCCTTATTACGCAGATTAGAATGCTTTATTTATCTGAGAAACCAGGGAATATCCGCCTTATGGATGTATTTCGAGGTTATGGTACGATCAGGGAATGGAAATGTTGTTCGTTACTGTTTCAGCCAAAGTTTACTTTAGTCAAAGAATGTATGCAAACTTGTTATCATTTTATGTCCTATTAAATGTCATTCTGGGCAAAGAGAAGCTGAAAGTTATTATATTATGGCAGGCCTCAAACAGCTTCTTATTCCTAAAGGTCTAGGCCTTTCCTGGATGCTCTTTTTATACACAAGCATGAATACATTACCTGTTTAAGGTGTTTACTGAACATTTCACAGTGTACCTCGTCTTAAATTGCCCCATCCCTGTTTTTGGAACATGTTGCAGGCATCAATTTCATTTAACAGTGAAGCTGTTAAGGTCAGATATTCATTATCTTGTCTTTGTACTGGTTTGTTCAAATACTGGTCAAAGTACATTTATAAAAAAGTGTTTTGTTTTTTTTTATTTATTATTTGCATTTTATTTGCTGTCCCAACACGTTTGGAGTTAGATTTGTACATGCCTGTTACGAGTTTAAAATGTCTTTATTTAAATTAAAGCTGACCTCAAAATCTAACATAATGCTGCACTAACCTCGCTAGCTTGGTGCTAACAGACAAGACGAGGAGCATTATCTTAGCATTATCTTGATAAAAATGGCAAATCTCAAATATAGTCATCAAACTTCACATAAACATTCGTACTGGGTAAATTTTTTCTTCCGGTTTTTTATAAAAAGAATAAATAATGCAAATGCAAACAGACTAAAGTATATGATTGATCAAATGTTTTAGATTTTGCAATGTTTAGTAGCTACAAAACATGACAGAGAAGCCACAGGTACATGTTACCTAGTGAGGATATTAGAAGGAATCTTTGTTATCAAAGAAAAAAAACATAATAGTGATATTAGACAGTGATACAGAAGATCCCTTTGGCAATAAATGGGTATTTCTTAAATCACTGTGTTTGCATTCAAGTGATTTAGTGAATTGTTTTATGCTAAGCTTGTCCAACCTGGCAACATATGCAAAATGTACATACTAGTTTAAATAAAGTTACAAAACAATAAATCATAATGACCAAAAAATAAGTCTTAGATTTAATAACGTAGTAATACACCTGCAGTTTTAGGCCAACCAGGTCCAAATCACAGTTCACCACTCTCATAAATACATAACTTACATAGCAGTTTAATAGTAGTAGAATAATTCCTAGCATTTACTTATACGTAATAATACATATTAGGATTAAGAACTAAATAATAATCCTAAAGGTTAAAGGTTCAGACAAACCAGATGTCTGAAGAATTTAATGAATCAAACAGAGGCAGTATTTACACTGGGCAATTTTAGGCAGCCGCTTTAGACCCCCATAAGCCAAGGGCCCCATGAAACATATATGCATTATAAAACTATCTGTTGTTTTTAATAGTAATGAATCATAGTTATAATGAACTATTCAATGTTATGTGACTTAGTTTACATTTCAACTATTTAATTATGCAGCAATTTCAAAAAATCGGTGGAATTCCCCTTTAAGAGGTTAAAGGATATCAATAAACAGAAAGGCACAGAGCTTATGGTGTAGTAGGTTAACAGCACTTTGGTATACACCACATCTGAGCTAATGATAGGGAGCTGTTTAAACTGGCCTCAGCAGACAGCAGGCAGGACCCTTTCTCAGTGAGCAGGAAGCTCTGCACTTCCTGCTGTTCCCCTGGCAACGGAACATAGCCCAGGCCTGACGGACACTTCCTTACAAATACGGCTCTTCCTGTGCTCGGGCTGTGCAGCTGCAGCGCTCATTAAACAAGGACATCTGCTTGGGGATCTAAACAGGAGGGGCTGCAAGAAAAGTGCTTTATTGTATTAAACATGGAATTATTTGATGGGAAATGCTTATTTTGTACTTTCACACATGAGTAGTCAACACCGATGAGTTAATTAACAGAAGACTTTTTATGTTAGAACTATTTTAGCATATTTTTGCACATCTCAAGAACATTGCATATATCTGACTGAGACTGAATTAAAACGCTGCAGTCAAATCTAAATGCACTGCTGCTTGTGTTAAAAGTATCACAAAGCAAGATGCTAACTGCTGTTAGCTGTGTTGACCTACTGTGGACTTCCATTTGTTTTTAGCTACTTTAGCCTCATAGCATAGTAACTTTAAATATGACTAATGTAGTTTCAAATATTTTTGACAATTAAATGTCATTATATTGTTCTGGCAAAATACTAAATTTTGTGTTTATATTTTCAGTGCAAGTCAGTGTAAAACCTTTCACGTTTCTATAATATGAAACTCATCCATCATGAATAAATTGTTAAAAGGGTTTTTCAAGATCTTGAGACTGGACCGTCTACAAGCGAAGCAGCCACTGTACCTCAGACTGAAAAAAAGCATAAACAAAGAAAACACAGCAGTGAGAACGGTATTGAACTATAGAAGTGTGTAATAAAACTTTGGGCCCACTGGTGGGCGCTGGCCATTTAAGGGGTTAAACCATACAGCAAAATGACAGCTACAATTCTAAACTTTTGAGGATTACATACCGTTTAACTAAAGATGTTGCTAACCCTAACCTTAACCTCAGTAACCAAAAAATAAGTGTTTATGTCCTTTCAGTTTGTTTTTATACAATGTCAGGACCTGGGATCATACATAATGTTCCATACTTTTACAGTCTTGTAGAAACAACAATAGAAAAAAATCCTTTACATTTTGCCTTGTTTTTCTCATTGATTGACATGGAAACCAATAGAAAAAAGTTGCAGATTTGCATCTGTTGTAAATTAGATGTAAATATAATTCATTGAATAACTACATAATTAATTATGCAATTACATAATTACATACAGAGTTGTACACAAAGGTTTAAACACCCCCTGTAAAATTACTTATTTTGTTGATTAGTCAGGTAACAAACTAAAATATGGCTTATTTCTACACATTTTAGTGCAAATTTTTTTAGATTCTACATATTTCTTGATTTTAACATACTGGGAAAAAAATAACACTAATACTAATAGTGCATTAAAATGTGCAGAAGTGTGTTCTCTGTAGAGGATGTGTACTTATTTACACTTAGAAAATCAACAAAACATGTGTTTTGACTAGGGGCACCCAAACCTTTGCATATAACCGTAAGCATATAGCACAGCAACACGATGGGCTAAATATAAGTGTTTGTTGGAACAACTTTCATGGTTTAAGTGAACCATAAAATAACAGATTCCTGTAAATCATTACACTGTGTTGTATAACGTTGCTAAAAGGTCCTCACTGCTAGGAGATATAAGGCTCTTAGCAGCACAAATAGTCCCGTATCAGCTTGCTAGGATACCAGAGAGTGTTCAGATCATGTCCTGGGGTTTAATGAGTTTGTTTGTTTGATGGGGCCACTCAGCCCTGGTGGCATGCTCCTTGACCCTTAGAGACCGGGTCAAGTCTGCAGTTTTGGCGGCTGCCTAGAGGTCAGTCAGAGTGACGTCAGATGCCAGTTTGGCTGCACCTGCCATATGCTGGGGGTCTGTGGTGTCAGTCACCAGTGTGAGCACAGCATTCCACAACTACCAGAGATGATTCACTGCTGTAAATCATGCTTTCAGTACACATACACACACTCACATGCATTTGTTTTTGTACAGTGCCAGGACCTGGGGTCATACACAATGTCCCACGTTTATTATATAATATCATCACTGTCGGAACAAAATGTTGTATCTCTGAAATGCTAACTTTATATGAGAAAGAAAAACACTCTCAACTTTAATGTACGTTCATATAAGAAGATTTATTACAAGTAATTTTGTGTCCATTACAGGAAAA